TCATCCCTCTCTAGGGGAGGGCAAAGTGCAATGCTCATGGCGCCATCAAAGCAAAGTTGCGCTGGGTGGCAACGTAGTCTAATGTAGTTCACTGCGGACGGTTGGGCGTGTCAGGCGGGATGAGTTTGGCGCGGTGCCAAACCCGTTCTCCACCAGCTGTTGAAGCGAGCAAGTGACAAGACTGTATCATGTCGTTCGTATCACTCGTTTCCCAACAACTGTTGTCGCGTACTGCTTCAACAACTGGCAGAGAACGGGTTTTTCACCGTGGCACACTCATACTGCCTGACACGCCCCACCGTCCGCAGTGAACTACACTGTTCCTGAAGGACCTGTGTTGAGAATTATTGGGATACTTCCCTATTAGTGGGAGCCATTCACCACTGCTTCCAACGTCCACATAAGGTGAAGCTCTCCATATGATTGCAATCAGTCAGGGCGGTGTCACCAGAACTGGGATGTGTCCATTCCCGAATGCATTTTCTACCACTAGCGGCCAGTAGCTATCGGCTCAGCAAGGAAACGGCCAGTAGTAGGGAACACTTCTGAGAGCTCATTCCATGCCTCTTGACACCGGGCATGGGACAAGAGAATCGTAATTCACCGCGCTGGTGGGCGTCGCGTGCGACGTCGCGCCCGCAAATGACGATGGTTCCAGGTAGTAGATGGCGACAACAGGCAATTCAGAACCGAAAATAATGAATGTCTACGATGACGGGGTCTACATGAAGTCCGGTGCTCCAATCGACAGGTTAACACGAGTTAAGAAAACGCCGCTATCGCGCGCGGCGGAGCGGCAAATCACGATTCTCTTGCCCGTCTCCCCTTAACACCGCCTAGACTGATTAGAAGATATCAGTTGTAATTGCCTCCTAATTCGAGGGAACTTACAGTGTTTAGGCCAAATAAGTAAGTCTCCAGCATGACTCCGTCTTGTGCACGGTTTTAGAGACTGTCGCTCTGCTACTGAGAGACACAGGTCGCTCCAGTGTTTACAGAGTGCCCTAATGTCATTTTGATTTTCATGACCTCGATCAATTGGCCTGCCCAAAAATCCTGACATTTTCGATGATCCTGAAATTTAAGTCACTGATTTTCCTTGAGCGGACATATTAGGTTGATGCATATGTTTCTGGCCCACTGTTTTGATCCTTCCGTATTTCGTTTGCATGGATGGTATTTTGTCATCACTGTTGCATTGTGCATTATCACTCTTTTATCACACTAGCTCCATCGCTCACCCCACCTGGCTTGCAGGCCATCAATTCGCACCAATTACCACTGTGAAACATTGTCACAGTCTGATTGTGCAGGCAATTGTGGCCTTTCTTCTTGCCTCGAGCCCCGCCCCCCCCCCTTCTGCGGAGGATGGGATCGACAGGTGATGGTGCATACCTCTAATCTTCAGGCTGGTTCGCTATTGAGATATTTACAAAAAGAATGGGGCTAAAACATATACGGCTAAATGGGGACGCTGCAGTGCAATGCGCGACAGTACGACGAATTCTGGAAATATCAGGATTGAATGGAATGTCCGTACCCAAATATTGCCCTTGCCCTTGGAACTTCCTTTCTTGGCCTTCGAAATAAAAATAGGCAACAACACCACCACTTCCGGAACAAACGGTGAAAGTACTAATACAAGTCTACAGCTACAATTCATGTTTTGTACCAGCAGAGAATTACCTATAACTAGAACTTCCTGTTCGCACGCGATGCAGCCACCGTACTGTTCGCAAGTACATCTAAACCCTTCGAGAGTGAAAGTTAGCAGCTGAGCTCCAAGTGCCTAACGCTGCCATAGCGGGCTCATCGATGAGTTGTAATTGTCCCTCTGAAGAGCCACTTCCCGCGATCAAATGATCAGCGAAATGCGCTCCGTGCATTAGGCCACCTTTGTCGCAGGAAATTATAACACTTTCGTCACTGCGATTATTGGCCGAGATAAGGAGCTAAAGATGCGTGAGTTTTGCAAACGTGTGCAATCGCGTACTGTAACCCTGCAAGACAATGGCTTACAAGCGGAATTGCGTGTGTACATAGCGTTGCCTGGAGCCTCATGGGGTGATTTCCTCTTGCTCTTGCCGTGAACTGGTTGCATCTAAAATCCTGCTGGTTAGACTTGTCCTCATGATGAACTCGTCCAAGGCGCCGGCCGCACTGCTAGGGGGAGGAGATCTGTGCTCAGGGTGTTTCCACACTTTTTTTTCGCTTCTTTCTCTACTGATGAGTTCCTGATGGGCCATTTCTGAGCACCTGCTATCTGTTACACTTGATCGCGGAAATCGTCCTCTAACATCTCCGATCGGTGCATAGAAAGTTCGTGGTCATTATTCCGCGATTACTTGATGCGGTTATGTTTCTATTCGCACGTCTTCCTTACGAGCGGTGAGCGCTGATTTCTGAGAAGATCGCGTCCATCATTAGCCGCGTTTTTTCCGCCCACATAACTCAATTTTTGGTCGGCTGTTGTCATTGCGGCACGGCTGTTTGACTGGTTGTGAATTAGTAGTGATTTCAGTTCGAGGACTTGAAAAGAGCTCTACAGAAATCGAAAGAGGACATGGAAATGGCTGAGGAAGATTTGAAGAAGGGTGAGAGTGCATTCCGGAAGAGGGCGGCCCGGAAGGCCACCGAAAAGTATGAGGCTGATCTGAAGGCGGTAGGGTTTGGCCCAGCTGGATTACCGACTAGCCTTTTAACTGATGCTTTCAGCTTGAGAACTTTCTAACCGTGACTATGCCCGAGCAGAAGGTTCGAACACATAAAGGAGATTGAGACGATGATCTCGGAGATGCAGGTTGATTCCAAAGTTCTACGGGGAAGTGATAAGAGAACCATCTACGCTCTTTCTAGTCGTACCACGATTGGATGGCATCGTATTGTCGTCCATTGGCCAACTACAAAGTACCGCGGCCTCCAAATCTCTAAGGAAGCACACCTACACGCGCATCTGTCGTTTCAAAAACCAATAAAACATATCGCAATTTTTATACGTGGCAGTTTTATCGAGAATAAAACCTATAAAAGCGAAAAAGATGTTGAACAAAATATGAAGGGCAGTTTGTTTCACGTCATTGACGAGCTCGAGTAAATTTGAGAACATAGCCTAATCGATGGCATACGTCTCCAGGGGCGGGAAATTCCATTTCCATTGCCGCACTTGATTCCACGGCACATCCATGTAAAGGCCGTCCGGTTTTATGAACCTGAAATTGGCTTCATTTTAGTCGCTTAATTAGTCTGAGGCGCTTTTCGGCTCAGAGGAGCATTTTGCACCTTCGCTAGTTCCTTCTGCTAGCTCATGTTAACAAACAGGTAGCTTTGGTGAAATCTGTAAACCTTCCAAAGCAAACCGGGGGTGCAATGGTGCAAGAACTGCAAAAATTCTGCAGTTCAAATGTCTCCAAAAGGTGGGCGAATATTTTACACTCTCGACACACTCCCAATATTTCTATTCCTTACTTTCTTTGTGGTCATTTTTTCCTACACAGGAGTGCAACGGCTCCGCTGTGCTTTGTAGTCTCCGCCCCCCCCCTACTATTTATGATCACCACATTTCCATTTCGCTCCCTTTGCCTGCTAATGGAAAGTCGCTTTTTGTCAACAGTGTGCTTCTCTGTTTCACTCTAGACCGTTGTCCTTATTATGCTTGACAGTAGTCTTATCTGAGCGTCGTGACGTTTTGATCTTGTTCTTGAATTACTTGGCACTATTCTTCTATTCAATCTTGAATCTCAATACCCGCGAATGGAAATAGGGTCTCTGCCTCTTGA